GGGCCAGAGTGCTCATATTTTGAGCATTTTTCAAATTAAAAATATTATTACATGTGTGTAGTTTATTCAAGACTATCATGTACAAAGTAGACAAATTCAAGTCCTTACTTGAAGGATCTAGTTTGACTAGATGTTTGAGTTCCTCATGTATGTTAAATGTAGAAGTAGTAAAATATATCTTTGTAAATTTTTTTGCTAAAATTTATATACAATTTGTTTGTTGTAGAGTGGTACTATATACATCATTGAAAATGCTAAGTACATGTATGATTCATCCAAATCACTGTTAAATCACCTCTGTGAGCAGTTTAGTACTGTGTGTACTTGTTCAGTTTTGTGGAGAAGATGAGAGAAAGCCATTGCAAAAGAGAACGTGTTAGTGTGTTCATACTTGGCCATTTTCAGACATCATTTTTTTCCTGCATATTTTGTGCATTTTGTTTTGCTGTGTACATAGTTTATAGAATGGACCAATCAGTCCTAATTTTGCAATATCTAGTCTCTGGATGTTAAAGAGTTTGCCAGTGTGTTACTAAGTTGGTAGTAAAATTAGCACATTTTGTACATTTTGTGTTGAATTTTATAGGAAATCTTGTTCTCTGTAAATGACTTCTGGGTATAAACTTGTTCAAACATCTCTGAGCATTACATATGCCTTCACTTGTGCAGAGGACTGAAAGTAGGAAGAGGGAAGGAGGGAAACATTCCATAAAATAAATTAAATTAGAGACAATAAAGGAGATATTACCACAGACACTTCTGGTTTCCAGAGATTATGAGAACCTATTTCAAAAATTTAAATTGTAATAACTTGTAATTTTAATTATAATAACTAAAAAATCTGAAGACACTGACAAATTTGTAAACATGTATGACTCACCCAAATTGAATCAGGAAGATACAGAAAACCTAAAGAGACCAATATAAAGCAATGAAATGGTAGCAACAATCAAAAGCCTTCCAACAAAGGAAAGCCCAGAACCCGATGGATTCTCAGCTGAATTCTACCAGACATTTGAAGAAAAAAAAAATCCTAGTCTTTCTCAAATTATTCCATGGAATTGAAATGGAGGGAACACTTTGAAATGCATTCTGTGAAGCCAAGATAACCCTGACATAAAAAAAACAAAGACACATCTAGGAAAGAAAACTACAGACCAATATCCCTGATGAACATGAGTGCAATTATCTTCCATAAAATATTAGCAAACTGCATTCAAAAATATACCAAGAAAATAATACACCATGATCAAGTGAGCTTCATTCCAAGGATGCAAGGCTGGTTCAACATACATAGATCAATGAATGGAATTCACCACCTAAATTGAATCAAGAAGCAGAATCATATAGTCATCTCAGTAAGTGCAAAGGAGGCTTTTGCCAGAATACAGCAACCGTTCATGTTGAAATCACTGGAGAAGTGAGGATGTAAGGAACTTACCTTAACATTATAAAGGCAATATATGAAAAACCCAAAGCCAAAGTTACAGTAAATAGAAAAAAACTGAAAGCTTTTCCTGTAAAATCAGGGACAAGGCCACTTTGTGACATCCGCTCTTCTCTCACCTCTTTTATTCAATATGTTCTTAAAATTCTAGCCAAAGCAATTAAGCAAAAAAAGATAATAAAAGGGATACAGATTGTAAAGGAAAAATCCAAACAACCTCTGTTTGCTGATGACATGATTCTTTATCTAGAATACCCAAAAATTCCAGCAGAAGACTTCTAGAGCTGATAAATAAATTCAGCAAAGTATAAGGATATAAGATCAATATTCACAAACAAATAGATTATCTATACCCCTACAGTGATTGAAATGAGGAATAAATCAGGAAAGCCACCTTTTTCACAGTAACTTAAAAGAAAAGCTGAGAATTAACCTTACCAATGAAGCGAATGAAAACTATAGAACTTGTGAAGTTGAAGAAGACCTCAGAAGATGGAAAACACCCACCATGTTCTTTTATAGGCAGAATTAATATTGTCAGAATGGCTATGCTACTAAAAGCAATATGCACATTTAATGTAATCCCCATCAAATTATGCATGACGGTCTTCAAAGAACTAGAAAAAAATAAGTCCTTAAATTCATATGGAAGAATAAAAGATCCACAATATCCAAAGAAATTGTGACCAAGAAGTGCAATGCAGAAGTCATCACAATGTCTTTTTTTTTCTTTAATTAGACTACAAAGCCATAGTAAAAAAACAACAACAACATGGTACTGGCATCAAAATATATATGAAGACCAATGGAGTAGAAATAGAACATGCCAAAAGAAACCCTAATACTTATAGTCATTTGATTCTGGATAAAAAAAAAGTGTATTGTGGAACAGACAACCTATTTAACAAATGATGCTAGGAAAACTGAATATCTGTATGCAGAAGAATAAAGTTAGATTTGCAAAAAGTCAAATCAAAATGGATCAAATACTTAGGAATTATATAAGAAACCATGCAATTGTTAGAAGAAAACATAGGGCCATTCCTCCATCATACAGGTACAGGCACTGATTTCCTGAACAGGACCCCTAACGTTTAAGAAATAAAAACAAGAATCAGTAAATGGGATATTATTTTTTTCTTTTTTTTATTGTTGGTTGTTCAAAACATTACATAGTTCTTGATATATCATATTTCACACTTTGATTCAAGTGGGTTATGAACTCCCATTTTTACCCCTTATACAGATTGCAGAATCACATCAGTTACACTTCCATTGATTTACATATTGCCATACTAGTGTCTGTTGTATTCTGCTGCCTTTCCTATCCTCTACTATCCCCCCTCCCCTCCCCTCCCCTCTTCTCTCTCTACCCCCTCTACTGTAATTCATTTCTCCCCCTTGTATTATTTTTCCCTTTCCCCTCACTTCCTCTTGTATGTAATTTTGTATAACCCTGAGGGTCTCCTTCCATTTCCATGCAATTTCCCTTCTCTCTCCCTTTCCCTCAGACCTCTCATCCCTGTTTAATGTTAATTTTCTTCTCATGCTCTTCATCCCTACTCTGTTCTTAGTTACTCTCTTTATATCAAAGAAGACATTTGGCATTTGTTTTTTAGGGATTGGCTAGCTTCACTTAGCATAATCTGCTTTAATGAGTAAATGGGATATTATTAAACTAAAAAGTTTCTGCATATCAAAGGAAACAACAGAGTGAATAGGGAGCTTACAGAATGGGAAGAAATGTTTGCCAGCCACTTCTTTGACAGAGCACTAATATCCAGAATATATAAAGAACTCAAAAAGCTTAATGACCCCCCATAACCCCATTAATAAATGGGCCAAAAAAAAACTAAAAAGAAACTTCACAAAAGAAGAAATACAAATGGCCAACAAATATATAAAAAAAATGCTAAACATCTCTAGCAATTAGGAAAAAGGAAATCAAAACTACATTAAGATTTTATCGAGTATGGCCCTATGTATAAACATGGCTGTATAACCAATGTGATCCTGCAATCTGTACATGTGGAAAAATAAGATGAAGATTACGTACCCCATTTGAATCAAATGTATGATACGTTAAGATCATTGTAAAGTTTTGAGCAACAAACAAAAAAATTAAAAAAATATATTTTATCAAACCCCAGTCAGAATGGCAATTATGAAGAGAACAAACAATAATAAATGCTGGAGAGGATGTGGGGAAAAAGGTCCACTCATGCACTGCTGGTGGGACTGCAAATAGGTGCAACCACTATGGAAAGCTGTATGGAGATTCCTCAGAAAATTTGGAATGAAACTACCATTTGACCCAGCTATCCCACCCTTTAGCATATACCCAAATGATTTAAAATCAGCATATTACAGTGACACAGTGACCCTAATGTTTATAGCAGCACAACTCACATAACTAAGCTATTAAACCAATCTAGTTGCCTATGAAGAGATGAGTAGATAAAGAAGATGCAGTATATATACACACAATGGAATATTTACTCAGCCATAGAGGAGAATAATTTTATGTCATTTGCCAGTAGATGGATGGATCTGGAGAATATCTCACTAAATGAAATAAGCCAATCCCCCCAAACCAAAGGTCAAATTTTTTGCTGATATGTAATAAAAATGAGGAGAAGATGAAGAGAAGTTCAGCAGATTAACAAAGAGAATAAAAAGAAGGGAGGGTATTTAGGATTAGGAAAGACAGTGGAATAAATCTAACATAATTTTCTTATGTAAGCATATAAAATTACCTAAGTGAACCCCACCCTCATGCCCACCCATGAGAATGGGGTTCTAAGGAAGCCAGAATTTGGCAGTCAATTTAGATAAGTACCTCAAATCAGGTTGGATCATGGAGGCCAATTTGAGTGAGTCCAGGGTGTTGGAGACTGCCCCCTGAGGGATTAAAGTATCTTCAGAGCCCTTCCTCCACTCCTAAGATAACCTGCCCCTGCTCCAACCTGTTGCTAAGGTAACCTGTTCCAGGAATTGCCCCTCCCTACAGGGAGTTACAATGTTGTTAATTAATGTGTCCTGGGCTGCTCCACCTGGCCCTTCTCCTGTCCATCTGTTCGTGTCTTTTGGCCATCCCACCTAAGTATCTCCTGGGCCTAGTCACCTAAGCAGGAAGGAGAGAGATAAAGGGAAGAGAGCAGGAGAACAAAAAAGACATAGAAAAACGCAGAACACCCTCACTTTTTGGGATATCAGGATACCAGCAATGGCCCCCTTCCCCTCCTGGGAGAAGTGTTTGTTACCCCTTTTAAATAAACCCTGCTGTATATGGTTGCCTCATGTATACTTCCGCATGTGAGGGGACAGAACTCATCACTGATAACCAGAGGTATCATATTTGGATTGCCCCACCAAGATCTACACTGAGGTAAGCTCCTCTCCACGCCCCTCACTTGTGCATCTTTCTATCTCTTTCTTTCTGGAGGATGACAGTGGGCACCCATCAGCTACTTAAAAACAGTCAGTGCAGCCACCATACTTCAAGACTCCTGGCCTCAGTGGTTCCCAATCACCTGTTCTGTACTGGGCAGACATGTTGGGTCCTACCGAAGCCACTTTCTACTTTTCAGTCCAGGCCTGGAGAGCGATTGATGATGTACACACTGTCTCTAGTCCCAGTCTACCTTGGATGTATGGAGATGTGGTGACAGGACAGGAGCAACTGAGGAATTCTGGCCTGGGCTGCTCTCAGGTGAATACCAAAGGTTCCTTCTCCTAACCCCACTCCCAAGTGCCCTTTGGGGTATCTGGAGGGACTGGCACTGGGGGAAAGAGTCAATAACAACTCACCTCTGTATGGGCCATACAACACTCTCCTGCACCCCTCTTCTGCACCCATTCCTCCAGGTGCTTCCCTTCCTTCCGGATCAGACACTAGCAATTCAGACTGTAGAGCTGAAAGGAAGACATGGGATGATTAGTAAAGGTTCCCTTTGTTTGCCTGGTTAGCCTCCACATGCCACTTCAGAATCACCCCATTACTGTTCCTGTGCTCCTATCTACTCAATGGATTAAAAAAAAAAAATCTGCATTCTCTTTTAACCAAACCCTTCCTAAAACTCTGGGAAAGGGGCGTTAGACAACCACTAAATGTTCCCCTTGCCCTCTGGAAGTTCCTTTAGTCTGCAGGGCAGAAGAAAATAGGCAAAATAGGTGAACAAATACACATTTTTTTCTTTTTTCATAATCAGGAATTTACAGTGGCAGGGAAGAAAGCAGGAGTGCCTTTAGGTCTGAATCCTCCAGGGGTCTCAAGCATAGGGCACACTGGGACCGTAGCACATTGCCAAAGGGGTCCAGAAATAAATTTGGCAAAGCCAGATGATGAGAGATGGGTTTTCTGGACCATACTGAGCTCAGATTTAGGGAGACATCCGTAGGAAAATGAACAGTTTTCTCCAGCGTGGAAGAAAACAGGTGGGAGCTTCTCTCTCACAGTTTGTAGATTGACCATTAGTCTACATACAAATGATCAGGAAAAGTGCCTCATTTTATGTGTTGTCAGGCCTAACCCAGTCACTTCCTTGAGAAGAGAAAGATTTAATAACTCACCTAAAAAGGAAAAGAAATCAAGGGGACCCTCCCATCAACTTAAAACAGATAAGAACAAATTTAGGGAGAAAAAGTAATTGAAGACAACTTTAAAAGATGGAAAGAACTTTTATGTTCTTGGATATCCAGAATACATATTGTCAAAATGGACATACTGCAAAAACCAATATATATATTCAATGAAATTTTTGTCAAAATACCAATGATGTTCTTCACATAACTAGAAAAAAGTTCTTAAATTAATTTGGAAGACTAAGAAACCCAGAATAGCCAAAGCAATCCTGAGCAAGAAGGGGGATGCAGGAGGCACCACAATACCTGTTTTCAAATGATACTACAGAGCTGTAGTAATAAGAACAGCATGGTGTGGACATCACAATAGACTTCAAGACCAGTGGATAGAGTGGAAGTCACAGAGACAACCCATATCCTTGTAGACATCTGCTCCTTGACAAAAGTGCCAATAATATGTGTGGGAGAAAACATAGCCTTTTAACAAATGGTGTTGGGGAAACTGATATTCATATGTAGAAGAATAAAACTATGTCTTTCTCTCACCCTGCACAAATGTCAAAAAAAATGGGTTCAAGACTTGGGAATTAGAGGAGAAACCTTACAATGGGTAGATGAAAACATAGGGTAAATACTCCGGACACTGGTGCAGACATTATCTTTTCAAACAAGTCCCCTGTAGCTCAAGAAGACAAGTCAAAAAAGAATGAGGAAATAGGATGGCACCAAATTAAAAAGTTTCTGCACAGGAAAGGAAATGATTAAAAGCGTGAGGACAGGGCCCAGAGAAAGGGAGAAAGTCGTTCGCAGCTCCTCCTGCCACAGGTGGTTACATCCAGAATACAAGGAACACAAAAATCATAACACCAAACATACAAGGCAAAGCGACACCAAAAAAGCCAAGCAAATAATCAATAAATGGAATAAATTCTACACAAATATTTCTAAGAAGAAGAAACTAATACATCTCCAACAGATATAATAACAAGTGTTCAACATCACTAGCAATCAGGAAAATGAAAATGAAAACTCCACTAAGATTTCTTTTTACTCTAGTGAACGAATGGCAGTTACCAATAATAAAAAAAAGGATAAATGCTGTTGAGAATTTGGGGAGAAAAGTACATTTACACGTTGTAGGGACTCCAAATTAGTACAACCATTCTTGAAAGCAACACGGAGGTTCCTCTGTAACTGGAAATGGGGAATCAGCCTATGACCCAGTTATTTCACTCTTTGGTATTTACCAAAAAATCTAAAATCAGTATACGGTAGTGATACAGATCTTCAAATTTATTTTAAAAAGGAAAGTAAAAAAAATTGTCTTTAGGGCTAAGTGACTTTTCAATGCCACAATTTTTATTTTATATAGCAGTTAGAATTGGGGAATATGGACAGGATGAAAGTAGTTAGTGTCAGCAAGAGAAGTTTGAAGACTGAGGAGGAAGTCGAACCAGAGAGGAAATGGGAAACTGAGTAGGAGGAGCAGGATATTGGGAGGGAACCCTTTTTTTTTGGTAGTAAACAAGGGAGGTTTGTCTATTGGTTCGAGGAGGAAGCCAGAAGAGTGGTTCTGTGGGCTAGGTTTATTCTGTGGGTTAGGTTTGTTTAGAACAGAAACCAAAAACCAACTTTTATGAGAGTCAGAAAAAACATCTTCAAGTGCCATGCTGTTTCTTCTTCCCTTTTTAACTGCTCTCTTCCCAGGTCCTGAGAATGAAATTAGTAGTAACTCTGGGTTCAATTGTGTGTGCATTGGGGTGTGTGTGGGCTGTTTCCCCAGAATATTCCTGAGCCTAAGAGTGTCATGCCATGCCATGTACCATTCTGAGTGACCCTGACTCAAAGCCTCTCTGTGCTTCTGGAGGTTGTTGATAAAGCCTGGGACCCTCTGGCTGGCTAATGTCTGCTAAGATGACTCTGGCTCTCTTTTTCCACAGATTTCTGCCTCCCTACTCTGGATTCTATCTTTCTCAAGTCTCTTCTTCCCACTGTCTCATTTCTCCCCATTCTCTCTGTTATTTGAAGAACCTCTATCCTACCATGTCTCCCATATTTCTTCCTTTTACAATTATTCCCAGGTATGACATCTGGGCTCAGGCTGGTTGGGTGACCTGCAGACTCACATATGGAGCAGTGGCCCTGGCACCATCATTTTCCTGTATCCCTGGTCAGGGGCAACTTCAGCAATAAGGATCTGGGGGACCTGGATCGATTTTCCCAGTTACACTTTATCAGATGTGACCCTCTGAGTGTGAGTTCAGTTTCCTCAATGGGGAGTAGTAAGGGAGACGGGATGGGAGGGCATCTCAGTGACATTTTGTTTCTTCAAGAAACAGCCTACTCTTTGTTCTGGATCATATTCCACTCTTTTTTTGGCATAAAACAGCAATTCTCACACTTGGGAAAGTGCTATAAACAAAACCCTGATTCTTCAAACACTTCAGTCTTCTGCTACATATGAAGCCAATGTCTCCCAGTGACTGAAGGGTTGTGCTGTATTATCTTTCCTGAGAGGTATCCTATGGCCACACTTTTCCCTGGTCTCCAATCAGGTACCCTCATCTTCTTGGTGGTCTCTTTAAAGAGGGCTCTTCTCTGTCATTCGATCTTTTCAGCCTTCCCTGTCTACACAATCATAATGATCATTATATTTCATCTGAAACCCCAAACTCAGTCCTTGTGTCAATGCTGATACAATAACAACTACAAGGTTTTGAGTAAAAGGAAGTTTTATTTATTTTGATAGCAAAGGAGAATAGAAAAAGGATTCCTGTCCCAGAGGCTGTGATTTTAACTGCGGAAGGGAATAGTGGGCTTTTAAAGAGGCGAGGTAAAGGCTAAACTGCAGCTGAGCCCTGTCTGAAGTCATAATTCATTTGTAGCCCTGAGAGTCATTTCTTAGAGCCACAGGTGCCAGGCCTGAAGTATAGATTTCTTCATTTCAGTGGTCCATGAGGTGAAGAAGAGTCTTATTGTGTTGCTTAGTGACTCACTTTTGCTGAGATGGGCTTTGAACTCATGATCCTCTGCCTCAGCCTCCAGAGCTGCTGGGATTACAGGTGTGTGCCACCAAACCTGGCTCAATCCATGTTTTATCCAGAAGAGGCTGGATCCTTCTTAAGGCCTCTCTCTAACAGGGTATTTTTTTTCTTCCTGGTACAGATTACCTTCTTCTTAAGCAAAATATTGGTTGAGATAACACTGATAGCCACTCCCAGGATCCTTTTGGTCCACACAGCCTTCCTCATATTTTTAATAGACTTCTAGCAGAGTGTGGTTGGTTTCCTTTTCCTGAATGTCCAGTGAAATTGCAACTGGAATTGTTTTGTTGTTGTTGTTGTTGTTGTTGTTGTTGTTGTTGTTTTGGTGAGCTTATCAGTGCATTTAATTTACACAACAAATGTTACCCTAGGAAAAGGATAAGATAATCTGGCATGTAAAAATAACAACAACTTGTATTACCCACGTTTATCTCCTTTTACTTTAGTTTGTTAATCATCAAGGTTTGTGAACCAGTGTTTTACTCCAGGTTATCTGTTACAAATTATTCACTTATCTGCCTTGGCAGAAACCTAAAGAACACCTTAGAGTAAGTTAAAGTAAACCTGTGACCTTGCTAGGCATCCCACTGCTCACTACTAACTACTACCTGACACTTTTCATACCTTACTATCACCTTTGCACAATTTCCTCTTCTACATGTTCTTTTCTTTTTTATGTTTTTACTTCCAACTTCTACCAATTCCCCTTTCTGTAAGCCTCTGATCAAACCACACTTGGTTTAATTTCCTGAACCTGCAAAATCTTCCCTTCTGCTCTAATTTTCTTCTCCTTCCACTCATTTCATTTTCTCCCTTTTCCTCTAATTTATTATTTCTCTTCCCTGATTCCTTTGAGATGCAGATGGTCAGGGGCTCTGAGCTGCACTCCGAGGAGGACTCTATAAGCTTTCTTCAGGTAGCTATTAAAGGATCCCATTTCCTGAGCTTCAAGAATAAATCATGCCTACCATCTCACCATCTCCAGCATTTGGAAGTAGGATCCAGAATGTCTGCAGACCCTTCAATTCAAGCCATCATCAACAGGGCACATGTGATCCTCACTGACCCCTGCCCACATTCCACCATGAGTCTTCTTGATGCAGGGAAGTTTTATCTCCAGCTACAAGGCCATTGCTCGATCCTCTCTGAGAATTTTCCATTCTGAATACATGCCCTTCCATTTAAATCTGAGGATAAGAAGCACATAAGAGGGAGAAGAAGATAATGAGTGACATTTTCAGAAGTGGAAAAGATGTGTGTATTTAAGCTGATGCAGGGAGCTGAGCCACCAAGTACTTAGAGGAGTCCTGGTCTGAATAACTTTCCTGTTTTTTATAGTAAGGCCTGAGGCCTGGCTGTCCAGTGGTTCCAGTCCTGGGCATGGCTGTCTGCTTCTTGTGTGGATTCTACCCTCAGCCTGTGTGGGTGATGTGGATGCGAGGTGACCAGGAGCAGCAGGGCACTCAGAGAGGTGACATCCTGCCCAATGGTGATGACACGTGGCATCTCCGAGCAACCCTGGATGTGGCAGCTGGGGAGGCGGCTGGCCTGGCCTGCAGGGTGAAGCACAGCAGCCTAGGAGGGCAGGACCTCGTCCTCTACTGGGGTGGTAAGAGTGGGACCCAGGCTGGAGATGGGGGGAGGTGGTCCTCTAGTAAAGCATGAGGGCCAGCTCAATGGTTTGGGATTTTAGGGATTCCAGGCCCCAAAAGAAGACAAATATGTTAATCCAAGGAGTGCAAGAGTTAAAAATGAGGGGTGAGTAGATGCAGGAGGATGTTGTGGGCTACATGAAGAGTTCATCTCTGAAGAGGTATATGAGAAAAAATAGAAAGTCTGGCGAAGTAGAAACACCAAAGAAGCCCAGGTTAACACAATAAAACAGAGTAGATAAGGCAAAAAAGTAAAATGGGAAATGGATTTGAAAGAACGTTATTGGTGCCTGTTCGAATCTACAGAAGATCACAATTCCCTGGGCTTGATTTTCTTGGCAGTGCTAGTGACTCTGGCTCTTCTGACAGGTCTTGCATTTTGATTTAGGAAGCACTGGTAAGTTCTTTGTATCCATCTTACAGTTATTTCCTCCTCCCCAAAGGTCTTATCTTCTTAAACTCTCTCTTACTTTTTCTTTTCCTCCTAACAGCCTTCCTTGATTTTCCTCACCTCTCACCTCCATCTTATGAAGTTATTTCTCTGTCTTATCTGGTTCACTTTGGACACACTGTGAAGTTCCTTGCACTGCTCTCACTTTGAAGTGAGGACCCAGCTGCCCAGGTGCTCATCTCACATGAATACCAAATGGCAATGACGTTTCTTCAATTCTCCTTGTAAAACCTTTGCAAATTATTTCTGCTTCATGATCATTTGACAATATATTCTCAGTTTAATCTAGCAAGATTTAGAGTCTGATCTGGGTTCTGGGACTTTAAAATTTAAATTTAACAGAACAAATATGGTCCTAGCAAGCTACACCTGGTTAGATATTAATAGATCATCAGGTTCATTTCAGGTGTCACTTCCTCCAAGAGTGATTCTGTGATTCACAGTGGGAAGCAGTTGAGATCCCCTGTATTTCAATTGTACTTTACTAACTGTAGTCCTCAGTACCTGGCCTCTATGATATTGGTGTATGCTCTTTCCTCCTTTAAATTTTAGAAACTTGAAAGCAAAGTACTTGTCTTTTTAATATTGCATCTCTGATGAAGAGCCTGTCCAGAGTATAACGTGTTATCCGTTAAAAAAAAATCTGTGTTGAATTTATACCAAATGTATAGTCTTTTAAAAGATATGTCTGTTGTAGTTGAAAATTTTGATGCTCTTCTTAAAAGTCTTATCATTTGGTCAAAAGATTTCATGCTTTCCTGGTTCTACAGTTTCTTCTCTGAGCCTCTGAGAAAAAACACAATTTTGTCCATTACTCCTTTTGTTATTCAATTATAGAGAACTATTAGAGTGAAATTATTGTTCCAAAGATTCTAAACTAAAAAATGGGGCAGGGTGTAGGTGACATTCGATGTGGCATTGAATGGGAGAGATGGGGAAAAAAGACAAGGGCAGAACAGTGGAAGCCATCTGACCTAATTTTCCTATATACATATATGAATATACCACAGTGAATTTTACCTTTATGTATACCCACAAGGCATTAATCCTAAAAAAAACTATAACAAATTAGCAGAAAGATCAGTAGAGTAGTGGTAAGGAAAAGAATAAGAGAGGGAGGGAGAGAAAGAGGAAGTACTGGGGTTTGAATTATAGAAAATTATTTTCCATGCTTTTATAATTATGCCAAACTGAATTGTATTGTTATATATAACAACAGAAAACAATAAAAAAGAAAAAAAATGGAGATTCTTCCATACCCTAACTTCTGTGATAGAATAAAATAGAAAAAGATCAACCTAATTATATAAGCAAGAAAGCTTTTCTATTAAATGTGTGTTGAGTTTGTTTTGCTTTTCTCATTCTGGATATTATGAATCACTGATCTGAGTTTAAAGTTCGCAAAAGTCTACTTGCATGATCCAGGAATAAAATGTATAGTAAATTAAAATAAACTGTGACTCCAAAATGGTAACACCTCCATGATAGCAGATAGAATTTAAAATAAAGTTGATCAATGGAAGCCCCTCAAACAAGTTGGGAAGAATACCCACACCAAAAACCTTTCTTACATCAGTCCACATTTGGAGGAGAGAAACTGAAATAATCTACTACATGGAAGCTGTCAGACAAACAATTAGTTTATTTCCCTTAATAAGTCACACAGGGGGCATTATATTTGAAAAGCTTAAAGATATAAAGAGAAATAATACAGAAAAGAAAAGAACATAATTTAAAAATATACCAGGCATGAGTTTAAAGCAAACTCAACCTTAGTTATAATTTCATTGCTGTATGTTATGGTTTAGATAGGAGGTGTCCCCCAAAAGTTCACGTGTGAGCCAATGTAAGAAGGTTCAGGGGTTATATGATTGGGTTATAAAACCCTTAACTTGATCAGTGCATTAATCAATCCACTGATAGGGATTAAGTGGGTGTCACTTGTAGGGTAGTGGGTAATTGAGGGGCATGCCTTTGGGGCATATATTTTGTCTCTGGTGAGTAAAAATTTCTCTCTTGCTCCATGGGGGCCACCTGATAAGCTGGTTTTCTCTTTCCAACCTTGTGTCTTGATGCCCTTCCCCCTCTCAGGCACAGAGCAATGGGGTTGGCCATCTGTGGACTGAGGCCTCTGAAACTGTGTGCCCCAAATAAAACTTTATTCTCTACCCTGTTCTCGTCATGTCCTTTGGTCAGAGCAACAGATATGCTGTCTATAACACTATAATTTAAAATCCAAAGGTGGATTAAACAGCATCAAGAGAATTTGATTGTAAAATATTTTAAATTGGAAGGTTTGAGGTTTCTCCAGTACAAAACACAGAAAAAAGAGCTTTAAAAATGACGAAGAAGTTGATATATGTGAAGATTAGTATGAAACACAATATAACTGCATCAGGAGTTCAATAAGGAGACAGAAAATGTAATGGGAAGAGGAATTGTGACAGAGAATATTCCAGAACATGAATCTTTGGATTTAGGAAAGCCAAAAGTAGCAAAGTAAAATTAATGCTCATTAAAAATATTCTTCATTTTTCACAGTGAAGAAGCAAACTCAAGAAGTATAGGAAATTCAGAATATAAGCAAAAAAATTCAAACAGAGCTACTTTTATATATTTTTATTTCTTAATATACATTTAATCAATAAAAATTCACACTCCAAAGAGCACATAACAGTTTTAACACATGAGAGAAAGTACATAGAAATGAATGAGTTTAATGAAATATATTTTATTTAATTTGCACTCTTTTAATGTCTCTGTTCACTGTGAGCAATAGAGTTTTAGCTAAAATAATCATGTATGGCAAAGGCAGGGAGAACACATACCTCTGAGAATATCTTAAGTGTTTTAAAAAATATTTTTAGTTTCAGATGTATATTTATTTTATTTATATGTGGTGCAGAAAATCAAACACAGTGCCTTTTACATGATATGCAAGTGCTCTACTACTGAGCTACAGCTCAAGTGGTTTTTAATTCCGAAATTTAGGAAAATACCAGAAAATATTATGATTGAATATACCTACTAAACACCATATAGTAGCTTCAGAGTTCAGGTACTAACAACTCCTAAGTCCTCAGTAGAAAACTACTCATATAGGGTTGTATCCTGTGTTAGCAAGTTTTCCATCACTATCATGAAATATCTGAGATGATTAACTTTTACAGAAAAAAAAGTTTATTTGGCTCACAGTCTTAGAGGTTCCAGTTCACCATCAGGTGACCCCATCACTTTGGGTCTATACTGAGAACAAACCATTGCAAAACTCTTTGCATCACAACCCAAGGAGCAAAGAGGAGGGAAGAAAAAAAAATGAGAAGAAGTCCTACGATCCTCTTCAAGGGCAAGCTGTCAATGACCTAAGGACTTTACCTCCTAGAGGTCCTACCACCTCCCCATAACCCTATCCTGGGAACGAAACATTTAGCACATGAGCCTCTGGAGACATTCAACATCCAAACTATAGTGTGTCCCAAGAATCTAATCACCTTTCACCTAGCCTCACCCCTTGAAGTGCCACTACCTCTCAGTACCTTTACATCAGGGACCAAGATTCCAGCACTGAAGCTTTAGAGGACAAACCACAGCAAACACAGCACTACAGTGTCCTGTTCTTGACTTGATTTCAAGAAACCAACCAACTTTGTTGCACTGGAGATGAAAGTATATTTGTTCTATTAATTTTATGTATTTGTTTTATACTTTATCTTTTTTATATTGTATGATAAAAGTAATTTGAAAAGTAGCAGAAACAACACCACTGGAAGAAAGAAAAGTTTCAGTTTGGGTCTCTCTTGTACTTCTATTTTCTGTTCTTATCTGAAACAGGTCTAACTGGTCATGCTTTCTCCTATTCCTGCACTTTTAGGATGACATACAGAGGGTCCTTAGCATTTCCTATGCACTTGTTCAAGCTGTTACATATGTGTATATTGCTGAGAAGGTTTAGCTTGCCTCCATATGTACTTGGGAAATTTCTGTCCCTTGTTGTCACTTGTTTTTCTATAACCCCCTCTACGAGGTTTTTGTGCCTAGAATGGTTTTATGCCTGGTGTCCAAGATAAAAAAATGTTTTCCCACAAGAAAGGATATGAATGCCAGGACTCTGACTTTGTATTCTTCTACCTTAGCCTCAAGAAACAGAATACTACAGTGCTGTGATTTTGTGTGACTTGTCCTGCAAAACCAAGTGCTGGAATCTTGGTCCCCAATATTGAGAGGTGGTAGATCTTCAGGGGGTGAGGCCTAGTGGAAGGTGATAGGGTCCTGGGAGCCACACTATAGTTTTGATGGTGAATGTCCTCAAAGGCTCATGTGTTAAATGTTTGGTTCCTAGGGTGGGTTTAATGGGAGGTGGTGGAAACTTTAGAAAGCAAAGTTCTTAGGTCACTGAAAGCTTGCCCTTGATGGGGACTGCAAGACATCTGCCCTTCCTCTTTCTTGTCCTCCTTCTCTTTGTTCCCTGGGTTGTGATGCAAGTAGTTTTGCTCTGCCATGTTCTCCCAGCATGATGTGAATCCTCGCCATAGAACCAAAGTGATGGGGTTGCCTGATTATGGACTCAAACCTCTAAGGCTGTGAGACAAATAAACCTTTTTTTCTTGGAAAGTTAATTATCTCAGGTATTTAATTTTAGTGATGAGAAACTAAATGATGGCTAACAGAGGACACCACCCTGTGTTCATCAGCTTTCTACTGAGGAGTTAGAAGAAGGTGACACCTGAACTCTGAAGGTATCGCATGTGATGTTTAGTTTGTAAATTCAACTTCAATCCTTTCTGACATCTTCATAAATTTCTGGAGATTAAAAAACAGTTGAGACCTTCTCCTGGGTGTGTGCTCTCACTGCCTTGGCCAAGCCTGAATACTTCAGCCAAACTCTGCTGCTCACAGTGAACAAGGCCATGTAAACAGTGGTAATGTAAATTA